TTGGTTGTCATGATTTATTGTGCGTCTTTTTATAAACTGTGTACCGGGGTAGGCTGATATCTAGAAGGGTTTTCCTATATTTTTGCCTCTAGAAACGTATGCGTTTCAGTGCGTCAGTTAAGTTCTTTATACACAATGGGATTAATTTTTGTGAGTGGTGGAAGATAGGGTCGCTGGTCTCTTTGCGAAGCATGGCTATTCGAGTTTCCGAATGGCATTTATTGAAAAGGCGCTCCCCCCAGGTTTACATTGTGTCTGCGTTGTTGAGGATCAGTGTTTGTAGGTAGGGGGTTTTTCTGGTTTCTCTATTTTTTTGTTTACACTGGTCTTTCTCTGTCTTTTGTACCAATATAATACTTTGTTTTTACCTGTAGCTTTGTTAATCACATTTGAAGAACTGGTGATATGATGCCTTTAGATTTGCTATTTTTCTTAAGTTTGCCTTTGACTATTCGGGCCGAGTTCTGGATCAAACAATGTGTAATTATTTGTTTACTAGATCTGTGAAAAATATGACAAGTGGTATTTCATGGGAATGCGATTGAATGTAATCACTTTGGATAGTATGGACATTGTTAACAGTGTGATTCTGATCCATTGAGCTGTTTTTTGTCCGTTTGTGTTGTCCTTGTAATTTCTTCCCAGGGTTCTCAATTCTCACTTGTAGAGGGGGGGGGATTTTTTCACCTCTTGGTTATAATTGAATATATGTCCTAGCATTTTCGTGTCTTTGTAAGCTATTGTGAGTGTTTTGAATCTTTCTATGTGACCTCTCAGCTTGTCTGTTATTAGTAATAGAAATATTAAAATGAGTGTCATAGACAATACTCAACAACTGATTTAGGTATCTGATTTACACCTGCGATTTTGTCGAATGTTTATCAATTTCAAGCGAGTCTCTTGGTGGCAGTCTGTGGGGTTTTCTAGGTAGAAGCATTTCTGTTGCTGCAGTGAAGTAACAAATAGTTTGATCCTTCCCAATTTGGAACGCCTTTGGCCGGGTTTTTGCCTTTCCTGATCTCTTTGGCTGGGACTTCCACACTATTTGAATAGAAGTGGTGACAGTGGCCGCAACCTTGTCTTATTCCCCTTTTAGAGGAAAGCTTTTCAACTTTTCCCCATCAGCATGAGTGTTGTCTGTTGTTTGTATATATGACTTTTTCTAATTCTGTAGATACGTTCCTTCATGCTGAGTGTTGAGGGTTTTTTATCCATGAAAGGTGCTGAAATTTGGTCAAAGCTTTTTCTGCATCTATTGAGAACCGAATCATATCTGTCTCTATTTTTCCTTCTCTTTATGTGATGAGTCACATTTATGATTTGCATTTGTTGAACCATCCTTGCATTCCTGGGAGAGCCACTTAGTCATGTTGAATATTTTGATGTGCTCCTCTGAATTCAGTTTGGTAGCATTTTACGAGGATATTTGCATCCATATTCATAAGGGTATTGGTCTGTAGTATTCCTTTTTGTATGCTTTTCCTGCTTTGGTGATCAATGTGGTACTGGCTTTATAGAGATGAATGCATTGGGGAGAATTCCCCTTGTGTGTGTCATGAATAATTTTTTCTAGTATGGGTACCAGCTCTTCTTGTGCGGTGTGGTAGAATTTGGCTTTAAATCCACTGGTCTGGGGCTTTTTTGTTGTAAAAGATTTTTATATGTTTGGATATTTTGTCCATTACTGGTTTGCTCAGGAATTCTATTTCTTCCTGCTTGAGTCTCAGTAAGTTATGTATTTCAGGAATTTTTCCTTTACTCTATATTTCTAGTTTTTGTACATAGAGATTTTCTTAATATTCATGGATTTTTTTTTTTGTTATTTCTGGATCATTGTAATCTTCCTTTTTCCCTTTTTATTTAGTCATTTGGGTCCTCACTCTTCTATCCTGCGTTATCTAGCAATCAGTCTGTCATTTGTTTATCTCTTCAAAGAATCAACTTGTGGTTCATTGTGGTTTTTTTTGTGGGTATTTTTCCATTTCATTCATTCTACTGTTATCCATTGTCATTTTGTTCTAGTGGCTTTGGTTTGTTGTCTGTCCCTTCTAGTTGTTTGAGCTTTGATATTAGGTTGTAATTTCTGATCTTTCTGTCTATTTTGATGTAGGCATTTAAGGCTCTGAATTTTCCCCTGAGAAATGCTTTCAAAGAGTCCCATAGAGTTTCAAAGCGTAGGCCTCAAGACACTATCCCCGAATCTCCACCACTGCGTAGTGGTTGGACCTCCTAGATGGCATTTCTTTCTCAGGGACATCCCAAGCCATGAGCAGACATTATTCATTACCTGGTCTTGCAAAATCCACTGCCCAGTCACCTATAACCCGTGTCTAAATAGACTCACCCAGCTGCCACTTCATCTCCATTGGCTGAGCCCAGCTAGGCAGTCTCCCACAACAACAGCATAGTGGAGAGTTATACCTAGCGCCAATGCAAACTTCCAACCACAATCTGGGAATAACCCTCCACCCTACATGATATCTCAGCACTGCTCAAAGTGATTCGATCACAGGGGAATGTGTTAGAACAGAGCAGATGTATAAGGCTCTCACTGTACCCACTTCTCCCTTGATGGTACAGCTTCCAGAGTACATCACAAAAGATACATCTCCCCCTTCCACTAACTAAACAGGAGAGTTCCCAGCAATAGGAGAACAAGTGCCTGCCAATCTATTAGCCCAGAGCTGAGAGAAGAGATTCAGATGAGAAGAACCAGCAAAAGAGATGATGGTAATATGAAAGACACAACAGTTTGACACCCCCAAGGAAATCACCATGGAGATGAGGTAGTGGACTCTGACCACAAAAAAATTGCCAAAATGGCAGAAAGGGAATTCAGAATAGGATGGATTGAAGGAGAAAATAAGATGAATGAATTGAAGAGAAAGTTAAAACTATCCAAAAGAAGCCAAAAAAATCTTCAGAAATAACTAAAAAATGAGAAAGTCACTGGAGAGCTAGACAACGTAACAAGGATATAATAGAACTAAAGAAATGAAAGAGTAATTTAGGAGCTTCAAAACATAGCAGAAGGCCGCGCACGGTGCTCAACGCCTGTAATCTAGCTCTCTGGGAGGCGAGGCGGGGCGGACTGCTCGAGGTCAAAGTTCGAAACCAGCCTGAGCAAGAGCGAACCCCGCTCACATAAAAGAAAGAAATTATGGCCAACTAATATTAAGTAGTATACAAAATTAGCCGGGCAATGGTGGTGAATGCCTGTAGTCCCAGCTACTTGGGAGGCTTGAGGCAGCAGGATTGCTTGAGCCCGCGAGTTTGAGGTTGCTGTGAGCTAGACTGACGCCATGGCACTCACTCTAGCCTGGGCAATAAAGTGAGACTCTGTCTCAAAAAAAAAAAAAACAAAAAAAAAACATAGCAGAAAACATCAGCTACAGACTAAACCAAGGAGAAGAAGCAATCTAAGAGATTTGAAGACAAAGCTCTCGAGATAATCAGTCATGCAAAGAGCACAGATAAAGGCAGTACAAGTACAAAAAAGTGTGAGAAATCACTGAGAGAGAGAAGTGATTATGTGAAACAAACTAACAAACTGTAGATATCCCTGAGGGAAAAGAAGAAATTGCTAAAATCATGGAAAACCTATTTGGGGGAATTATTGAAGAAAACTTCTCTTTTGCATTAAGTGTTATGTATCCTTTAAAGTTTAGATTATTGTACACTAAAATGGAAAACATATAATACAAACCCCACACTTATCTATCAATGTATTCAGTTAAAATGCATACTATACAGGGCACTGATATATTGGAAATATTTCTGGAGACACTGATTCATTCGGGGCTGCATTGCTTTTCTTTTCCAATGTAGCCTTGCACTTTGTATCCTTCCATTTCTTTATATGCCTCTGGAATTCTTTCTCCCTGTAGCAGTGAGAGGCTCTCCAAGGCAAATAAAATGATGACCCCTTCCTTGAATTATTAGTATCCTAGTACCTGACAATTTCATATAAAGCTTTCATAATCTGACTTGTGCCCACATCTCCATCGTTAGCTCTCTCCCTGTCTGCTTTTTCTGTGGAATTATCGAAAGGGGAAAAAAGCCCTTTTCACTAGTCCCTCTATTTTAGACACATGCATATGCACTTTCATGCTTCTGTCTTGCTCCTGCTGCTTCCTGGCCTGCTCTCACTTTCTCCCGGCCTTTGCACCTTCTAATCAGGCTCACATGACTCTTTGAGTCTCAGGTCAGGCCTGAACCCTGGAAAAGCCTTTTTTTTTTTTATATCCCTTTAAGCCCAGTGCTAATAATTATTGAGTGAAATGCAGATTGTTTTTCCAAAGATGTTTTTGAGGGTTATTTCCTACAGTATAGGAGCAGAGGAGACAGTCATGGAAACAAATGACTGCCAGTTCAGGTAAGGAAGTTAGAGAGTAATCAGTACAGTCCTAAGACAGCCCTAAGGAAGGAGATGCCTGTTTATCTGGGGAAAGAGCCAGAATGAAGGAGGCCTTCACATAGCAGCCTGAATCATAAAAGATGGAAGGAAATTCGTCCTAATAACGGAAGAATGCATTTGTGATATAATGAACAAGGTGTACGCTAATAAAGGTAGAAAAAGTAAGAGAAATTTTAGCAATCATTACTGAGAACCACATGCCGTGCATGTGGTTAAAAAGGTACTGTTAATGTTATGAAGTAGACAGCAGCACACGGTGTTCCCATATGTTTTTGCTATGCTTTAATATTTTGTTTTGTTTCTGATGGTTTTGTTCATTTCTGTCGGGTGGATGAATTGGTAGGTGGATCTCTGACATGGTTTTATGCCAGGTAGCTGGTGACGTCTAGTGCCTCCCTGAGTGGTTTCTTGAAGTTTTACATAAATAGGAGCATTTTGTAAAGAAGTAAACATTCTACACACACTAAGCTTCATTTATACTCTCTTAATTTATATAAGTCAAAAATCTTTAATTTTCTGTTTTTATGAAGACTAAAGCTTTTATGCAGATGTTCTAAGTAGCTGATTTTAACTAAATCTGTAGAATTGACAGCAAAACAAGACTTTGACACAACATCAGAGCAAGGGGAACAAGAGCCCAAAGGACATGAAATTCCAGCAATACAGGTATGAGAAAATTACATTAAATTTAATATTGTTCTTTTTGCATGACTGAGACGAATCAGCACAAGGGACTTTTCCTTTTGGAATAGCACTTAACAGTGAATGAGTTATAACTGAATATTTAATATTAGATACCTTTTAAGTAGTAATAAAACTCAAAAGATTCTTAAACTGAATAGTAACTTATAGCTAATCTTTTCCCTTTGAGTAGAGGCAAAGGATTTCTGGAAGTTTATTTTTTCTTTAATTTTTATAACCTCCTTACATGATAAGGAAAGTAACATTAAGAACTGACACAAAGGACTAAGGAATCAAAATTAAGAACGATTAGAGAGTGATGGCCATTGAGTTGGACTGAGGTCAAAAGAGTAAATCATTCCCAGTGTTTCAAAATGTACATTTTCATATTGCCAGTCAGCAATGCCTAGGTTAAACATTTCCTCTGCCTGTGCTCTCTGATTCCCTTCAGAGGGTCTACATTGAAGAAGAGGTTGGTCTCATGAAGCCTGTGGCTATGAAGGGAATCGTACCTCGCAGAATAGGGCCTTAGGTGTGAGGGTACACCAGTAAACACGTAACTTATATCCATACAGGAAATCATGAAATGATATGAAAATTATGATGTCCACTTTCATAAGCGGGTGTTAGAATATAGTACATGTGGATTGAAGAAGACAGTCTGTGTCGGTACAAATCACTGTCATGTTGTTGTGTCTAATTTGCCTTAAGATTTAAGGATTGGCCTATATTTCTGACTGGTGTTGATTTCTATTCCTAGTAATGTAAAGTTTTCGTAGTCTTAAGGTATTAACTTTTAGAAACAGTGCAGAAATGCATTTTAGGGGTTGACTATTGAAGGTATGATACACTTTCTTTCAAAGCCCACCAAGTGTGGCACCGTTCCTGATGATCCCGGTCTGACAATTGGTGGACGAGCAATAAAGGTGCAACCAGCCAGATCAGGTACATATTTTCTTTTGTTGTTTTTTAGAGACAAGGTCTTGTGGTGTCAGCCAGGCTGCTGTGCAGTGGCCAAATCATGGCTCACTGCAACTTCAAACTCCTGGGCTAGAGGTCTTTCTGCCTCCATGAAGTTCCTAGTTTGCAATGCCTGTTTTGTTAGGGAATTGAGGGAGGTGACTTAGGGCACTGCATGATTTTTCCAGTTAAAATGTTGGAACTGGTTATTAGAATTATGATCTTTACCTGGAGGAATACATTCTGGTAACATGTTAGTCATGATTTAACTTGAGATATTTCATCTCATTGTCATTATACTGATGATATTTAGGGAGTTATGTGTTCTGATTGTGAGACCATATGTGTGTTTTTTTGGGGGGATGAGAAAGAGCTACCTGCTATCAATAAAAACCAGAAAGAAATAATCATTCCTTAATAACTATCTGGTAGACAGCGTTTTTAAAACAGTGATCCCGAGACTTTGTGGCCTTAGCATTCTTTTGTGGTACTAAGAAATATTGTGTGGAATGAAGCAACACCTGGACTGAGCCAGGTAGCGTTATCATGCCCTCTCAAGATATCTTCCTACATATATGTGTCATTCTAAATATTATATAGACTTTGTTTTCATGTCCCAAAATTTTATATAAATAGCATACACTGTATGTGTCTTTCTGCAACTTTTTCATTTCCTGCACATTATGTGATATGTTTGAGATCTATCTGTATTGACACAAGTATCCTGGTTTAATTTATTTTCAGTTCCTTATAAGACTCCATCACATGAATGTACCACATTTAACCAAATACTCTGGATGTGGATTAAAAAAGGGCACAAATGGCAGTAAAATTGATTGGGGATTCCTGACAGCTTTTGTATTAAGTGCTGTGAATGCTTTGATGTTCACAATATTGTACATTACAATGGAAAAAATATGATACAAAGCCCAGATTTATCTCTCAGTGTATTCAATTTAAATGCACGGTATGCGGGGCACTGATGTTTTGTATTTGAAATATTTCAGCAAACACTCATTCATTTCAGGCCTGCATTGCCTTTCTTTTGCAATATTGCCTTGTGCTTTGTCTCCTTCCATTTCTTTATATGTCTCTGGAATTCCTACTCACTGTAGTAGTTAGAGGGCTGTCTCTCCAACACAGAGAAAATGATGTACCCTTCCTTGAATCATTACTATCCTAGTACCTGATAATTTCATATAAAGCTTTCATAACCTGACTTGTGTCCAAATCTCCATCGTCAGCCCCCCTCCCTGTGTGGTTTTTCTGTGGCATTATCGAAAGGGGAAAGCCCTTTTCAGCAGTCCCTGTATTTTAGACAGATGCATATGCCCTTTCAGGCTTCTCTCATTTTCCTGCTGCTTCCTGGCCTGCTCCCACTTTCTTGTGACCTCTGCACCTTCTAATCAGTCTCACCTCAGTCATTTTGTCTCAGGTCAGGCCTGATCTCTGGGAAAGCCATTTTCCTTTTTATCCCTTTAAGCCCAGTGCCGATAATTAATAGATAGAGATTGTTTTTCCAAAGGTGTTTTTGAGGGTTATACCCTACAGTCCAGGAGCAGAGGGGACAGTCATGGAAAGAAATGACTGCCAGTTCAGGTGGGGAAATTAGAGGAGAGAAATCAGTAAGGTCCTGAGGCAGCCCAAAGGAAGGATATGCCTGTTTATCTCGGGGAAGAGCCAGAATGAAGGAGGACTTCATGTAGCATTCTGAATCTTAAAAAATGAAAGGAAATATTTCAGAATAGCAGAGGAAAGCACTTGCATACACATACCAGCGTGTATGCTGATATAGGTAGAAAAAGTAAGAGAAATTTTAGCAATCTTTACTGAGAACCACATGCCATGCATGTGGTTAAAAAGGTCCTGTGAGTGTTATCCAGTAGACAACACTACACAGTGTTTCTTCATATGTTTGTGATAACTAACAATTGTCTTGAATTTCTGATGGGTCTTTTTCATTTCAGTTGGGTGGATCAATTTGTGAGTAAATGTTTGAGGTGTTTGTATGCCAGGTAGCTCGTGACATCTAGTGTCTCCCCTGAATGCCTTCTTGAAATTTTAGATAACAGGAAGCATTTTTTAAAAAAGTAAACATTGTGCTACACACTAAGCTTCATTTACATCTCTGAGTTCATAACAGCAAAAAATCTTTAATTTCTTTATTTTTATGAATATTATAGTTTTTATGGCATTGCTCTAAGCTCATTTTAACTAAATGTATGGATTTGACAGCAAAACAAGACTTTGACACAACATCAGAGCAAAAGGAAGAAGATACTAAAGGAAGTGAAATTAGTGAGACACTGGTATGAGAAAATTATATATAAATTACTTGTTCCATATTGTTTTCTTTGTATTACTAGCATGACACAGCAGAAGGAATTTTTATCTTTTGGAACAGCATTTAAAAATCAACGGGCCATAATTTAGTATTTTATTTTTAAAATCTTTTAAGTAGTAATAAAACTGAGAGCATTCTTAAAGTGAATAGTTAGTTATAGCTAATGTTTGCAGTTGAAATAGAGGCAGAGGATTTCTGAAATATTATTTGTTCCTTAATTATTGTAACCTCCTTATGTGAAAAGGAAGGTAACATAGAACTGATGCATATGGCTAAGCTATTCAAATTATGAAAAATTTCACACTGATGGCCTTTAGTTGGACTCATACTTAATTAATAATTATTCCCTAAGTTTCAAAGTTTACATTTTCTATTGCCAGTCAGTAATGCTTAGGTTGAATGTGCCTCTTGCCATGTGGTCTCTGATTCCATTCAGTGTGTACATTCCGGGAGAGGATGGACTCCTGAAGCCTGTGCCTGTGAAGAGAATTGTACCTCTCAGAATGGGGCCTTTGGTGTTAGGGTGCACCAGTAAACGTCTAATTTATTTTCATAAAGGAAATCATGAAATGGTATCAACATTATGTCCACTGTCATAGGTGGGTGTTACAATATAGTAGACCTGGATTGAAGAAGTCTGTGTCGGGAGATAATGCTGTCATGTTGTGATGTGCAATTTGTATTAAGATTTAAGGATTGACTTATGTTTTTGACTGGTGTTGATTTCCGTTCCTAGTAATGTAAAGTTTGCATAGTCTCCAGGTATTTACCCTTAGTAACAGTGCTGAAATGCATTGTAAGTGGTGACTATTGAAGGTATGATACACATTCTTTCAAAGCTCACCGAGCGTTCCATCGTTCCTGATGTGGCTGGACCAACAATTGGTGGACGAAGAATAAAGATGCAACCAGCCAGATCAGGTATGTAGTTTTGTTGTTGTTATTTATAGACAATGTCTTGCGGTGTCACCAGGCTGCTGTGCAGCGGCCTAATCAGGGCTCACTGCAACCTCAAAGTCCTGGGCTAGAGGTCTTTCTGCCTCCATGAGTTCCCAGTTTGCAACCCCTGACTTTGTTTGGAAATTGGGGGAGGTGAATTAGGAGACTGCATGATTTTTCCACTGTTTCAATTGCTTATTGGAATTCTGATCTTCACCAGTGGAATGTATTCTGCTAACATGTCAGTCATGATTTAACTGTAGTTATTTTATCTTTTTGTCATTAAACTGATGATATTTAGGGAGTTATATGTTGTGATTGTCAAACTGTATGTCTGTGTGTTGGGGGGCCAAGTAAGTATCCATGATTATGGAAAACAGGGAAGAAGTGAATCATTTCTTAATGAGCATTTGGTAGAGAGCATCTTTAAAACGGTGATCCTGAAACTTTGTGGCCTCAGAGTCCTTTTGTAGTATTAGAAAATATTGTTTAGAATGAAGCAATACCTGGAATGAGCCGGATATTGTTCTCATGCCTTCTCAAGATATCTTCCTACAGATGTGTGTCTTTCTAAGTATTATATACACTTTGTTTTCATGTCCCCAAATTTTATATAAATAGCGTACACTGGATGTGTCTCTCTGCAATTTTTCATTTCCTCCACATTATGTAATTTGATATATTTGAGATCTGCCTGTATTGACACAGGTATCCCTGGTTTAATTTATTTTAAGTTCCTAATAATACTCCATCACATGAATGTACAACATTTAACCAAATAGTCTGCATGTGGATAACAGAGGGCACAAATGGAAGTAAAATTAATTGGAGATTGCTGAGAGCTTTTGCATTAATGGCTGTGTATCCTTTGATGTTTATAATACTGTATACTAACATGGAAAACCTATAACATGAAACCCCAATTTGTCTATCAATGTATTCAATTAAAATGCATAGTATACAGGGCACTGATATTTTTATATTGGAAATATTTCTAGAAACATTCATTTCTGGCCTGCATTGCCTTTCTTTTGCAATATTGCCTTGTACTTCGTCTCCTTCCACTCCTTTATATGCCTCTGGAATTCCTTCTCCCTATAGTAGTTAGAGGGATGTCTCTCCAACGCAAATAAAATGATGAACCTTCCTTGAATTATTACTATCCTAGTAGCTTCCAATTTGATATAAAGTTTTCATAACCTGACTTGCGCCCACGTCTCCATTGTTAGCACTCTTTCTGTCTGCCTTTTTCTGTGGCATTCTCGAAATGGGAAATGCCCTTTTCACTAGTCCCTCTATTTTAGACAGATGCATATGCACTTTCAGGCTTGTCTTGTTCTCCTACTGCTTCCTGGACTGCTCTGTTTTTCTCAGGCTCTGCACCTTCTTATCAGGCTCACCTGAGTCCTTAAGTCTCAGGTCAGGCCCTATCTCTGGGAAATCCATTTTCCTTTTTAACCCTTTAAGCCCAGTGCCAATAATTATTGAGTGAAATTGATAGAGATTGTTTTTCCAAAGATGTTTTTGAGGGTTATGCCCTACAGTCCAGGAGCAGAGGGGATAGTCATGGAAAGAAATGACTGCCAGTTCAGGTGGGGAAGTTAGAGGAGAGAAATCAGTAAGCTCCTGAGGCAACCCTAAGGCAGGAGATGCATATTTATCTGGGGAAAGAGCCAGAATGAAGGAGGACTTCACGTAGCAGCCTGGATCTTAAAAAGTAGAAGAAAATTTGTCAGAATAGCAGAGTAAAGCATTTGCGATATAAGGACCAGGGTGTATGCTAATACAGGTAGATAAAGCAAGAGAAATTTTAGCAAATTTTACTGAAAACCACATGCGCTGGATGTGGATAAAAAGTCCCATTAGCAAGTAGACATCAGTACACAGTGTTCCTTCATATTTTTTGGTATACCTTACAATTTTTTTTGTTTCTCACAGTTTTATTATGTTTCTCATGGTTTTGTTCATTTCTGTCGGGTGAATGAATTTGTGAGTGGATCTCTGAGATGCTTTTATGCCAGGTAGCTGGTGACATCTAGTGCTTCCCTTAGTGGTGTCTAGAAGTTTTACATAATTAGGAGAATTTTGTTAACAAGTAAACATTCTGCTACGCACTGAGGTCATTTACACTCTCTCAATTTATACAACCAAAAATCTTTAGTTTTCTGGTTTTATGAAGACTAAAGCTTTTATGGATTCTTTCTGAGTAGTTGATTTTAACTAAATCTGTAGAATTGACAGCAAAACAAGACTTTGACACAACATCAGAGCAAGGGGAACAAGAGCCCAAAGGACATGAAATTCCAGCGATACAGGTATGAGAAAATTACATTAAATTTAATAATGTTTTCTTTCCATGACTGAGATGACACAGCACAAGGGACTTTTCCTTTTGGAATAGCATTTTATAATGAATGAGTTATAACTGAATATTTAATATTAGATACCTTTTAAGTAGTAATAAAACTCAAAAGACTCTTAAACTGTATAGTAATTGACAGCCAGTCTTTTCCCTTTGAGTAGAGGCAAAGGATTTCTGGAAGTTTGTTTTTTCTTTAATTTTTATAACTTCCTTACATGATAAGGAAGGTAACATCAAGAAATGACACATAGTACTAGCAATCGAAATTATGAATGATTGGAGAGTGATGGCCATTGAGTTGGACTGAGGTCGAAAGAGTAAATTATTCCCAGTGTTTCAGAATGTACATTTTCATATTGCCAGTGAGCAATGCCTAGATTAAATATATCCTCAGCCTTCTGGTCTCTGATTCCTTTCAGGGTCTACATTGAGGGAGAGGGTGGGCTCATGAAGGCTGTGCCTATGAAGGGAATCGTACCTCGCAGAATGGGGCTTTTGGTGTTAAGGTACACCAGGGTACGTCTAACTTATTTCCATTCAGGAAATCATTGAATGGTATCAAAATTATGATGTCCACTGTCATAAGTGGGTGTTCAGGTATAGTAGACCTGGACTGAAGGAGAAGTCTGTGTCGGTAGATAACGCTGTCATGTTGTGATGTGCAATTTGTATTAAGATTTAAGGATTGGCTTATGTTTCTGACTGGTGTTGATTTCTGCTGCTAGTAATATGAAGTTTTCATAGTTTCCAGGTATGAACCTTTAGAAACAGTGCTGAAATGCATTGTAAGGGGTAACTATTCAAGGTATGATACACTTTCTTTCAAAGCCCACCAAGTGTACCATCATTACAAATAATAAAGGTTGGACCAGCCAGTTCAGGTATGTATTTTCTTTTGTTGTTATTTAGAGACAAGGTCTTGCGGTGCCAGCCAGGCTACTGTGCAGTGGCCAAATCATGGCTCACTGCAACTTCAAACTCCTGGGCTAGAGGTCTTTCTGCCTCCATGAAGTTCCTAGTTTGCAATGCCTGTTTTGTTAGGGAATTGAGGGAGGTGGCTTAGGGCACTGCATGATTTTTCCAGTTAAAATGTTGGAACTGGTTATTAGAATTATGATCTTTACCTGGAGGAATACATTCTGGTAACATGTTAGTCATGATTTAACTTGAGATATTTCATCTCATTGTCATTATACTGATGATATTTAGGGAGTTATGTGTTCTGATTGTGAGACCATATGTGTGTTTTTTTGGGGGGATGAGAAAGAGCTACCTGCTATCAATAAAAACCAGAAAGAAATAATCATTCCTTAATAACTATCTGGTAGACAGTGTTTTTAAAACAGTGATCCCGAGACTTTGTGGCCTTAGCATTCTTTTGTGGTACTAAGAAATATTGTGTGGAATGAAGCAACACCTGGACTGAGCCAGGTAGCGTTATCATGCCCTCTCAAGATATCTTCCTACATATATGTGTCATTCTAAATATTATATAGACTTTGTTTTCATGTCCCAAAATTTTATATAAATAGCATACACTGTATGTGTCTTTCTGCAACTTTTTCATTTCCTGCACATTATGTGATATGTTTGAGATCTATCTGTATTGACACAAGTATCCTGGTTTAATTTATTTTCAGTTCCTTATAAGACTCCATCACATGAATGTACCACATTTAACCAAATACTCTGGATGTGGATTAAAAAAGGGCACAAATGGCAGTAAAATTGATTGGGGATTCCTGACAGCTTTTGTATTAAGTGCTGTGAATGCTTTGATGTTCACAATATTGTACACTACAATGGAAAAAATATGATACAAAGCCCAGATTTATCTCTCAGTGTATTCAATTTAAATGCACGGTATGCGGGGCACTGATGTTTTGTATTTGAAATATTTCAGCAAACACTCATTCATTTCAGGCCTGCATTGCCTTTCTTTTGCAATATTGCCTTGTGCTTTGTCTCCTTCCATTTCTTTATATGTCTCTGGAATTCCTACTCACTGTAGTAGTTAGAGGGCTGTCTCTCCAACACAGAGAAAATGATGTACCCTTCCTTGAATCATTACTATCCTAGTACCTGATAATTTCATATAAAGCTTTCATAACCTGACTTGTGTCCAAATCTCCATCGTCAGCCCCCCTCCCTGTGTGGTTTTTCTGTGGCATTATCAAAAGGGGAAAGCCCTTTTCAGCAGTCCCTGTATTTTAGACAGATGCATATGCCCTTTCAGGCTTCTCTCATTTTCCTGCTGCTTCCTGGCCTGCTCCCACTTTCTCGTGGCCTCTGCGCCTTCTAACCAGTGCCAATAATTAATAGATAGAGATTGTTTTTCCAAAGGTGTTTTTGAGGGTTATACCCTACAGTCCAGGAGCAGAGGGGATAGTCATGGAAAGAAATGACTGCCAGTTCAGGTGGGGAAGTTGGAGTAGAGAAATCGGTAAGGTCCTGAGGCAGCCCTCAGGAAGGAGATGGCTGTTTATCTGGAGAAGGAGGCGGAATCAAGGGGGACTCCATGTACAGCCTGAATCTCGAAAAATGGAAAAAAAAATTTTCAGAACAGGGCAGGAAACCATTTGCGATATGAGGGCAGGGGTGTATGCTGATATACAAAGAAAAAGTGAGAGAAAGTTTAGCAATATTTATTGAGAACCACATGCCCTACAAGTGGCTAAGAAGTTCCTATTAATATTATCAAGTAGACAACACTGCACAGTGTTCTTTCATTTCTTTTGCCATAACTAACAATTGTGTTGTGTTTCTGATAGATTTTTTTCATTTCTGTTGGGTGGATAAATTTGTGAGTAAATGTTTGAGATGTTTGTATATCAGGTAGCTGGTGTCATCTAGTGCCTCCAGGAGTGCTCTCTTCAAATTTTAGATAACTGGAAGCATTTTTTAAAAAGGTAAATATTCTGCTACACACTAAGTTTCATTTACATTCTCTGAATTTATAACAGCAAAAAATCTTTCATCTTCTATATATTTTTATGAAGATTATAGCTTTTATGGCATTGCTATAAGCTCATTTTAACTAAATGTATGGATTTGACAGCAAAACAAGACTTTGACACCACATCACAGCAAGAGGAAGAAGATACTAAAGGAAGTGAAATTAATGAGACACTGGTATGAGAAATTATGTATAAATTACTTGTTTAATTTTGTTTTCTTAGTATTACTAATATGACCTAGCGAAAGGGATTTTTTTTTTCTTTTGGAACAGTATTTTAGAATCAATGGGCCATAATTTAATATTTCATTTTAGAAATATTTGAAGTAATAAAACTCTGAACATTCTTAAAGTGACTAGTAAGTTAAGGCTAATCTTTGCCGTTGGAATAGAGGCAAATGATTTCTGAAATTTTATTCCTTTCTTAATTTTTATGAACTCCTTATGTGAAAAGGAAGGTAACATAGAACTGATGCATATGGCTAAGCTATTCATATTTTGAAAATTTCACACTGATGGCCTTTAGTTGGACTCATATTTAATGAGTAATTATTCCCAAAGTTTTGAATTTTACATTTTCTATTGCCAGTCAGTAATGCCTAGGTTGAATGTGTTTCTTGCCTTGTCTCTTATTCCATTCAGTGTGTACATTCCGGGAGAGGATGGGCTCCTGAAGCCTTTGCCTGTGAAGAGAATCGTACCTCGCAGAATGGGGCCTTTGGTGATAGGGTGCACCATTGAATTGTAACTTATATTATAAGGAAATCAGTAAATGGTTTGAGAGTTATTTTTTCACCTGTCATTAGTGCATTTTAAGTATACTAGTGCATTATAAGTATACTATAAGTATACCTGGGCATTATAAGTATACTAGACCTGTACCTAGGCATGTAGTCTGTTAGGTACTTGACACTGTTTTATTATAGTATACAATTTGAATTAACATTTTAGGATTGGCTTTACTTCTTGACTGTTGTTGATTTTATCTACTAGTAATGTAAATTTTGCCTAGTCTCCACTTATTAACCTTGAGAAACAGTACAGAAATGCATTTGAGGTGTTGGCTATTGAAGATATGATGCACTTTGTTTCAAAGGCCACTGAACGTTTCCTCCCAGTGAGAGTTCCAAGTCCGAAAACAACTACACGCAAAAAGAGGCTACGAACATCCAGATCAGGTAAAATTTTCTGTTGTTATTTGGAGGTGAGGTCTCACTGTGCCACCCAGGCTGGTGTGCAATGGCCTGACCATGGCTCACTGCAACTTCAAACTCCTGGGCTGAAGAGGTCTGTCTGCCTCCATTAAGTTCCCAGTGTGCAATCCCTGTCTTTGTTAGGGAACTGACAGAGGTGAACTAGGAGACTGCATGATTTTTCCAGTGTTTCAAAGGCTTATTGGAATTCTCAATTGTACCTAGAGGAAGGCTTTATGGTAAATTGTCAGTCGTGTTTTAACTTTAGTTATTTCATCTTATGCTTATTATACTGATGATATTGAGACAGTGATAAGTTCTGATTAGCAGACTGCGTTTTTGGGCAAGGGGGTAGTTTTCCATGATTTTTGAAAACAGGAAAGTAATTTATCATCTGTTCATGACTCTTTGGTAGAGATAGTCTTTAAATAGTGATCCTGTGGCAGGTGCGGTGCCTCACGCCTGTAATCCTAGCACTCTGGGAGACCGAGGCGGGAGGATCGCTTAAGGTCAGGAGTTCAAGACCAGCCTGTGGCTCATGCCTGTAGTCCGTCCCAGCTACTCGGGAGGCTGAGGCAGAAGGATTACTTTAGCCCGGGAGTTTGAGGTTGCTGTGAGCTAGGCTGACTCCACCGCACTCTAGCTTGTGCAACAGAGTGAGATTCTGTCAATCAATCAATAAACAAACAGGTATCCTGAACCTTTTTGTCCTTAGGGTCATTTTGTAGTATTAAAAACTATTGTGCAGAATTAGTAGCACCTGGAATTAGCTGGATATCATGGCCATATACTTTGAAGATATGTTAGTATATATGTGTATGATCATAAATATTATATAGATTTTGTTTAATGTGAAAATTTTATAGATATGGTGTACACTGTATGTATCATTTAGCAGCTTTTTTTATTTGCCCAATGCTATGTAGTATTTTTGAGATCTATCCATAGTGACACATGTATCCATGATTTAATTTAAGTCCCTTATAATATTCCATGACATTGAATAAAGCAAATTCAACTAAACTCCCTCATGTGGATAAGAAGGGGAACAAATGGAAGTATAAATTATTGGGAATTCCTAGGAGCTTTTGTTGATCTTCATTAATATTTGCAATATTGTACACTAAAATGCAAAATGTAAAACCTATATTTATGCATTTAGGTGTTCAATTAAAATGCATGGTATAGAGGGCACTGATATTTTATATCTGAAATGTATCTGCAAACATTCATTTCAGGCCTGCCTTGCATTTCTTTTGCAATACTGTCTTGTATTTGGTCTCTTTTCATTTCTCTTCATGCCTCCGGAATTCTGTCTCAGTGTAGTACTTAGAGTGATATCTCTCCAGGGCTAATAAAACGATGAGCCCTTCTTTGAATTATAAGTATCCAAGTACCTGACAATTTGATACAAAGCTTTCATAACCTGACCTCTGCCCACATCTCCATCATTAGCCCTCTCCGTGTGTGCCTTTTTCTGTGGCATTATTGAAAGGGGGAAAGCCCTTTTCACCAGAACCTCTATTTTAGACAGATGCATATGGTCTTTCAGGCTTGTCTCATTCTCCTGCTGCTTCCTGGCCTGCTCCCACTTTCTCCCGGCCTCTGTACCTTCTAATCAGGGCTTGCCTCAGTTCTTCAGTCTCAGGTCTGGCCTCATCACTGGAAAAGCTATTTTCCTTTTTTATGCCTTTAAGCCCAATGAGAATATTTATTGAGCAAAAGATAGAAATTGTTTTTCCAAAGATGTTTTGGAGGGTTATTCCTCCAGTCCAGGAACAGAGGGGACAGCCATGGAAAGAAATGACAGACAGTTCAGGTGGAGAAGTTAGAGGAGAGAAATCAGTAAGTAAGAAATCAGTAAGTTCCTACGAGAGCCCTAAAGAAGGTGATGCCTGTTTATCTGGGGAAGGAGGCAGAATCAAGGAGGAAGTCACATAGTAGCCTTAGTCTTCAAGATGGAAGGAAATTTGTCATAATAGTGGAGGAAAGCATTTGCGATATAAGGAACAAGGTGTACACTCATAAAGCTAGAAAAAATAAGAGAAATTTTTGCAATCTTTACTGAGAACCACAAGTTCTGCATGTATTTAAAAGGTACTGTTAATGTTATGAAGTAGACAACAGTGCGCAGTGTTCCTTTATATGGTTTGTTATACCATACAATTTTCTTGTGTTTCTGGTGGGTATTTTTCATTTCTGTTGGTTGGATGAATTCGTGAGTGGATCTCGAAGATGCTTTTATGCCAGGTAGCTGGTGACATCTAGTGCCTCCCTTAGTGGTGTCTAGAAGTTTTACATAACTAGGAGAATTTTTAAACAAGTAACCATTCTGCTATACACTAAGCTTCATTTATACTTTCTCAATTTATACAATCAAAAATCTTTACTTTTCTGGTTTTATGAAGACTAAAGATTTTATGGATTGGTTCTAGTAGCTCATTTTAACTAAATCTGTGGAATTGACAGAAAATGAAGACTTTGTGACATCAGAGCAAGGGGAAGAAGAGCCCAAAGGACATGAAATTCCGGTGATACAGGTATAAGAAAATTATAATTAAATTTAATATTGTTTTCTTTCCATGACTAAGATGACACAGCACAAGGGACTTTTCTTTTTGGAATAGCATTTTAGAATGAATGAGTTATAATTGAATATTTAATATTAGATACCTTTTAAGTAGTAATACAACTCAACAGATTCTTAAACTGAATAGTAACTTATAGCTAATCTTTTCCCTTTGAGTAGAGGCAAAGGATTTCTGGAAGTTTTTTTCTTTAGTTTTTATAACCTCCTTACGTGATGAGGAAGGTAACATCAAGAACTGACACATAGTACTAAACAATCAAAATTATGAATGATTGGAGAGTGATGGCCATTGAGTTGGACTGAGGTCAAAAGAGTAAATCATTCCCAGTGTTTCAAAATGTACATTTTCATATTGCCAGTCAGCAATGCCTACGTTAAATATTTCCTCTGCCTGTGGTCTCTGATTCTCAATGGGCTCATGAAGCCTGTGGCTATGAAGGGAATTGTACCTCGCAGAATGGAGCCTTTGGTGATAGGATACACCAGTAAACATCTAACTTACTTCCATACAGGAAATCATGAAATGATATCAAAATTATGAAGTCCACTGTCATAAGTGGGTGTTAGGGTATAGTAGACTTGGATTGAAGGTCTGTGTCAGTACATAACACTGTCATGTTGTGTAATTTGCATAGAGATTTAAGGATTGGCTTATGTTTCTGAATGGTGTTGATTTCTGCTCCTAGTAATGTAAAGTTTTCATAGTCT